GCAATGTCAAGATGTTTAATCTGTTAACAGCAACGTCTTCAGATAAAATTCAATTACAGCACCAACACTAACATATATCTAACTCAACAATAGGATTGCTAAATAAAACAATACTGTCCATTACAGGGAATTTCTAGTCCATATATTTGAAGATTTTTTTTTTTTAATTGGGTATCAGCACATCAGTAATGTTGATATCACATGAAAAACAAATATACATCAAACATTTTCACAAGTTTCAGAAGTATGTGATTCCCATTCAAATGTTCATCACACACTCACTGAAAAAAAAAAAAGAAAACGTTTACAGAATATTTATATTTCTCCTCTGGCATGTTCCAAGTAATGTCCATGCAGTTCTATAAGGTTGGAAAAACAAGCATTACATTCAGTACAAATGAAGTCACCAGTTGTGTCCTCGGTCTTCAATATGGACGGTGACTGGCTTGAACCATTTAATTCTTCAATTGCTGAAAAACTGGCCTTAGTGTGTTTTTTAACCATGTGCCCCTCATTAGTCTGAGAATTAGTTTTGGTGGTGCTTGGAGCTTCAGTGTTTGGTTTTGGCTTTTGTGATGGATGTAAGGTTGAGGGACCAAAGTGTGACAACCGATGAGACATTTCTCCTCCATTTGAACGGGGGAATGAGAGTAGCTTCTCTTGCCTCTGATTATCACAAAGGCTGTAATCATAGCTTTGATGCTGGAGATGGTGAGATTGATGTTCCTCTGTCCTAAGTAGCTGGCCTCTCATTGCTATTGATCCTTTATTTACAGCCTTGTGGCGGAGCTGATGGTGAAAAAGCAAGTCCAAGTTCTCAAAACTGGCACTGCATGTACCACATTCGTAAGGATGCACAGCGGACTGCTGGTCAATGGTGTAATGTGTCTCCATCGGATCATTTGTGCAGTGAACAACTCCGTGTCGCTTAAGAATAACAGTGCTTGCGAAACCTTTTCCGCAAATATCACAAATAAAGGGCATAGTTGAGGGGTGCCACTCTTGCTGGTGGTTCCTCAACTTTTGTGCATTTGAGAACGTGTGAGGACAGAAAGGACAAGCGTGAGCATTAAGTTCTGGATGCTTCTGCAGATGTTTATTGTACAGTCCCACAAATCGAAACCCCTGTCCACACTTGGGGCAAAAAAAGCGCCCTCTTTTCTGTCTATGCAGCCGCTGATGAATCCAAAATTTGTTCCAGTTTTTAAACATCCTGTTGCAATCAATACACGTGAAGCTTTGACCCCGTGAATGAGTGAGCATATGGGCTCTCAGCCTTCCTACATGCTGGAATATTCGTCCACATTGTGGGCAGAAGTACTTTCTCGGATCTGCTTTGTGGCGCGTACTGTTCAGTTGAGATACAAAATAGCTGGATTTGATGGGTTGACTGACTGAATAGAGGTTATTCTGAGAGTCATAAACAGTGGTGGCCATGACCTGAAGAGGGCAAGCAAGTAAAGACGAGCATTTTTTGAGCTTCCTCGGGAAGGAAAAATCTTTTGGAGGAGATTTAACTGGACTTGCACTCCGCATTTTTTGAGGAGTTCTTCTCTTCAAGGAGTTTTTGCGTTGTAATCTGTGAGGTGAACTGTAAGAAGACTTTGTTTTTGCGAGCCGGATGGAAACGCAATGCTTGTTGTGCGTATGTAGCTCTGAAATAAGACTAAACGTCTGCTTGCAGCGGTCACAGCTGTAACGCTGGGTATCAGTGTGTCCTTGCAAATGTAATTCATACTCATCTCTGGTGCCAAAGCAACTTTTGCAAAGGTGACACCTGAAGCTGATAACACCATCCAATTCCATATCTTTCAAGGTAGCATGAGGGTTACTTTTACCCTCACAAGTGTGTACTTTTAATGGGCCGATCTGAGAAAACCCCTTACCACATTTTGAACAAAAGTAAGGCCTAATAGACCAATGCACTCTCTCATGGACACGTGCCGTGCACGCTTGAGTAAATGATTTGCCGCATACCTTACAAGAGTATGGTTTTTCTCCACTGTGAATACGAAGATGGATTTTGAGGACAGACTTGTAGCAAAAGACTTTGCCACAGATCGGACATGTTTGGGGTTTCCCTTTCCCTTTCCCTCTTCCTCGCCTTCTCCTTTTAGGGGTGATTTGATTACTATGGCAGTCACTTTCCAGTTTATCGGTCATGCTTACTTCTTTCTCATCCACAATTTTCTCAAACGTGGCTCTATCTTGGAATCTGTGTGCATGTTTCCTATTCCTACTTTTGGATTTATGGACTTTGCTGTGGGATCGAAGGTTGGAGAGTTGAGCGAAGGCTTTGCCACAATCCTGGCAGATGAAGGGCTTCTCACCTGTGTGAACACGCAGATGAATAATATACGCTGAGGCATGATTGAAAGTTCGCCCGCAATATTCACATTTGATAACCCTTTTTTCTTTGCGTGGCCTTCCGCGGGAAAAGGAAGGATATCCATGTTTACTTTCTGTGTTCTCCACACTGCTTGCCTCAGCATTGGCTTCGGTTGAAAGTATCTGGTTATTGTGCTCTGAATTTGCCTCTTCAAAGGCATCGTCCAATGTTACATCTTTTTCATTTAATGAGTCAGAAGGCGAGGCTCCTTGATTTTCAGTGTCCGAAACATTCACATCTGCAGTGTCCTCGTGGATTTTTTTGTCAGAATATTCTTCGCATTGGTTATCACCTTTATTAGAGCAGGACGTCTCACAGACAGCTTCCTCAGATGTTTGGACAGTCGAACAATGGGCTTCATTCCTTTCGGACTGACTACTTGAGATTTCATCTGTTGTAACAGACTTTTGAGTGTCAGTTTGTGGTTCATTTAATTCTTCATTAAGCAGCAGTGATTTTGGTTCATTATCTGTGGTGCTGGAAAGACAATCAGAATTTGTCTCACGGTCTTCCGAATATTTCTGTGTATCCATACCAGCCTCGTTGACAGGGGTAAAATCAGAGTTTAATTGCTGTGGAAATTTATCTACATTTACTTCACAGGAGCCTTTTTCCTCAGCATTGCAGGGCAAGGAGTCAGGTAGGACATTAGTGGCTACAGGTGATGGTTCTGCCACACTTCTGTTTTGGGAGTTTAATGCCAGACCTTTCGAAATTAATTCCCCCATTCCTCTCTTCATTGATTGTTCCTGGGTGTCAGCCACATCAGAGTTGGTTTCATTCTTCTTGGCCTCTCCTTCAAGCATGATGTGCGAATCGTCTGCCGGTGCCCAAGAGGAAAAAGAATCGAAGATAAGACCTATTATAAGATGTATTGCATGTAATACTAAGTAGCATTAGAACTTTAGCAGCTGCTTCACTTGCTATCCATATAACAGGTGGACATATTAATTTATTAACATAAAGATAAACATACAAAACAGTTTTTTAAAATTTTTTATATTATCATTCATGATATATATGTATATATATATACATACAAGAATTTGTACTGGCATGAAATAGTATTGCTGTATTATGGTTTTTGATTTTGATAGCAAAATATTATTTCCATAAAAGCAGTATAAAATATTATTTCCATATTGTCAGTAATAGGCTACTCAAATGTAAAAATGTAATGCAGGATATTGGCTCAATAGTCTGACTTCCCAAACATTTACTAGGCGTAATATAAAACGTATTTGAAAAAAAAAAAAATAAATAAATAAAAATTAATGAGTAGGTGCATACTGCATTATAATAATAATAATTATTATTATTAATGCGTTTATGTTTCTTTGATTGGCCTTCTGCCAATGATTCGTGCTTTTATTTAAGCGGCTCATAAGAGTCATTCGTTAGTTAATAGAAATACAGCAAAGAAAACAAAATGTAGACGTGTGCACTATTCGTTGTCTTTGTATTTTGTTAGTTCTTTTCTAATCGTTTTATTTCGTGATGTTCAATTCAGACTGCAAACGCACAACTCGGGTAAAACATTTTTTCCAGTGCCGCAGTAGATAGCGGCGTGATGGCGCTCTGCAGGCGTTTGCAGTCATAGGCCATTCCTGCCATTAACAGTGCACGATTCTGTAATGCTTCATGCATGCTCTGTTACAGTCAGCCCTGCATCTACCAACACAGCACAACCTGTCCTTTAAGAATGGGTTTATTCTGTAAAGCGAAATGAGCGTATTTAAACATAACACGATGAATGTGTCTGTGTTAATTCACCGCCAACGTTACCTGACGCTGGACCTATCGAATCATTTCAAATCCTCAAAACTTATTTTTTAAGAGCACCACTTATGCAAAATTGCCCATTGTTTGCTCGACTGCTCAAAATTAGATTCTGCCTTTATCTTGCAAAAAGCACATGAGAAAAAGCAAAACAAAGCAAGGCAGTTTGCACCAACCTTTCATGCTCTTTCTTTTCAGCACCAATGAACTACACTTCAGCAGGGTTGCCAGGTTTTCACAAGAAAACCCGCCCAATCGCGTTTCGAAGGGGTCCCCAGTTAAAAATCGCATTCCTGGGGGTAAAATTCACGTTTTTTTGGCGGGGTTCCCCTGCTGAAATTCGCATTCCATGGGATAAATATCATGTTATTGGAGTCGCTTCAACCCGCGGCAACAGTGTTAAAGTAGCCCAATTCCGGGGGAAAACCGCGGACTTGGCAACATCGTTCAGGACGCATATACCTAACAAATGGGAGTTTCCTTTTCCGTTTCCGATAAAAGCCTCTAGACATCTGATTCTGGACGTGTGGCTGGATAAAGACAATCACCGAGTATGCAAATAAATAAATGTTAAATCATTTTAGTTCGACTGCATTTAACGCGCAACATATGTCATACCATCAATCGCATATAAAGGACGGGTATCAGTATGAATTTTATTCGTTTTTATTAACAGTAAAAAAAACAAAACACATTAACATGTTTCATAAAACAAAGTGTTTTGACACACATGGTAAACAAATAACACCTGCAGAAATGGTTTAAAATTTAATATGAAATTATACATGAAAATATGAATTTCTAAATAAAACATGAAATCATAAAAGGCAATTAAACACTGTACATGTCGTGACAAAGGGCTGATCTGATGCTGCATTTCGTTTACACAGAAATGAGTATCATGTTGATTCATTAACAGGCATCACAAACTAACAATTAGCAATATTTACATAATGTATTAATCAAAGTTCATGTAAAATTATAAATATAGCCTACTACTGATCATTATTAATTGTTCCTAATGCAGATTACGAACTGATATTAATTTACTTATTTGTATGGTAAAAATGTACTAGTATAGAATTAATTTTATCCTTGCAAAATGTAAACCCATGTTTTTCATGTTTGCTATTGTGTAAACTAAATTCAACATACAGAAACTTACACAAGCACTAAAGAACTCCTACCACATGACAATTAAAAGACAATTCTGACATTTTTGTGTCCCTCCTGAGGCTTTGTATCAGATGCAAATTTACCATTGTTGACTGAGCACTTAAAGCAGCTCATGTATTTATTTGTTTAGTCCATCAGATTTACTACTTAATCAGCTCACCGTATCAATCTGTATCATTTAGATGTGTCCAGCAAGTTTGACTATTACTAGCAACATTTAGCACAGTATAAAACCCTCAGAAGTTTCATCTTAAATGAACGTGTGCATGACCACACCTGTTGTTGGTTTATTGGAGACTTAGAATGATGTCACTATTGTGTTTATTGACGCAACGTAGGACATGTTTACATCAAAATGTATTTACAGTACACTAATACACATTGGCTACCTTAAAAACAGCACTTAACTGTTCTATTTTACATTTATACAGTGCATTAGCCAAAAATCTTTCGGTTTGTATTGGGGGAAAAATAATCTGTATTTAATAGATGAATTAAATTAAGGCAACATCAATGAAATACAGAGGAAGCTGAACAATGTATTAACAAGACAAAAAAACCTGTTACACTACTGATCAGATATGAAACTTTAACTATTCTAAATGATTTTTTACTACTAAATGGTATAATGTACTCAACAGGTGCTGCCTTATGACTTCTTTTTCAACATTTTGATTGCATATACAGCAATAAAGGCAAGCAGCAGATCCACCTTTTATGAATGCATGAACACCGTTCAAAGGAAAGGTATCGGTTTCTGCTCTAGAGCATCTTCTGTGTCATTATTCGTTGTTGTTGGTGGTGGTGGTGTTTCAGGCACTGGCCCTAATAGGCGATGAACTCTCCTTCTATGATTTCTAAGGGACACTGCATCAGGATAGCTGCGCTGGCAAATCTGACACTTATATAGATGGTGTTGAGCGACTCCCCTCGACAGCTCATGACCTTCCACTATATGATGGACCCTCCTTCTGTGGTTTCGGAGGGATTGTTCATCTGGATAGCTGCATGGGCAAATGTGACACTGAAACTGATTGGGAGTGATGTTTTGCTCAGTTCCCTTTGATGGCAGAAACACACCACCCACAATATGATGCACTCTTCTTCGGTGGTTTTTCAAAGATTTTATGTTAGGATAGGAGCGGTCACATATCTGACATTGAAACGGTCCAGAACGGACCGGTTCTACGGTACTCCGATTAGTTTGGTTCGGCTGTTTAGGCCGATGAACTTTCCTCAAGTGATCCTTCAGGGACTGAAGCTTTGGATAGTAGCGAAGACAAATGTGACATTGAAAAGGAGTAGATGGACTGGTTTGTGCACCTGCTTGATGCAACTGTTCTTGTGCATCCTCTGCTGGCCTCATTCCGCTGTTGAGTCTATGAACGTTTCTTTTATGCTCCTCGAGTGCCTGAGGGGTTGGACAGTTCTGGTCACAAATCTGACATGTTAAGACAGACTGCCTGCTGTGTGAGACCAGATGTCTCTTGAGCCCATCTAGACAACTGAACCAACGCACACACACCGGGCACCGAATCGGTTTAAATGCGGGTTTACAGGTATTGCTTTGAATGTGAACTTTAAGCATCAATGGGCTTTGGAATGTTGTACCACAACGAGAGCAGGTGTGTTTCTTCTGACCTGCAGTATCGCCAGTACAACGCAATCGTAAGTGTCTTAACAAGGAACTGCGGAGACTGAAGTTCTTTTTGCATTTATGGCAAGTCAGTGCCTCAGGAAATGGCCTGTTGTTCAAATGTTGAGGTGCCAAGAGTCCAGGCGGTTGGGCTTTTATGTTATGCTCAGAAAAACCTGGAGACTGTTGCGGCCGAGTCGGAGCGCGTGATGGTAGCGCTTGGGAAAACGAATGAGGTTGTTGCTGGGCAGCTCTTTGCTCACTTGCAGAGCTTTGAGATTGGTGCAACTGCTGATGTGCCTCAAAATCCATCCACGACTGCAGGTTCTCACCACAGTGTGGACAAATGTAGGACTCCTGCGCATGCTGTTGCAGGTGTTCGAAGAGAAGTCGAGGACAAGTGAACGAGGCTCCGCATTCGCACGTCACTCTTCTTGGGAGCACAGATGGAAGTGACATGATCCCCCAGTTTCTGTTACTGCTAGTATTCGGAGTGCTTTCTTGTCGGACTGCTTGGTTTTCTGTAGATGGTGACAGGACGAATACGTTTTCCTGAGCCACAGGTGTTTTAGGCTCCACGGTTCTGTTACTTACTACTGAATCAGTGTTTGTTGCAGGATGGCACTTCTTTTGATGCATATTCATATTGTCTTTGCGGCTAAAGAACTTACCACACTGAGGACATGGAAACCTTTTAATCGGCCCAGCCGTATTAGATGATGTAACATTTTGCTGCTTTAACTTTCTTGCCCCACAAATACTCAAGTGCTCCTTTAGAGTAAACAGGCGGGAATAGCTTCTCTGGCACCCGTTGCAAACAAACCTCTTCAAGCCTTTGTTAGTCACATGCACCTGAAAGCCATTACTAGGTACTGCTGACTTCATTTCCTTGTCCTCATGAGGCTCCACAATGACAACATCCTCAGCTTCATCACAGTCGTCTCTAGCCACATCTGTCAAATCGTCCTCATCCGAGTCCTCTTGATCCACATCTATTAGTACATCAATTTCAGCATCATCCAAAGGCATGGTCCACTGCTTTTCAACCAACTGATCTCTTTCCTCTTGTTTTACGTCAACAGTGTTGGCTGGTATTTCAACAGAGTTTTTAGTTGATTCAGTTGGTTTGGAGTTAGAAACGCTGGCAAAGACGGACTCAAGGGTTTTTGGGGGATTTAACTGGTCCTTCAGCTGCATCTTCAGCCCAGTCTGATCTTTCTTGCCGATAGGAAGTTCTGTGTTCTGTTCCTCAATCTTTATCGGCTCTGTGCCTACGCCAATATTTATATGCTGTGTTGACATTTGATTTGTTTTCGAGTTTAGGACAGCTCTATTGCACTCCTCCAAGTTTTGAAGTTTGACATTACCGCTGGTGCCTACAGTGGTCGGGGATTTCAGAGAAGCTTTACACGGACAGTTGTGCTTTTTGAGGCTGCGCATGCGTGTGTAGCCACGCTTGCATAAAGAACAGTAGAACATTTTTTCTGTCTGTTGAGCTGTAGGGCTGATTGGTTTCAGAGACATTTTTCCCATCAAAGGTTGATGGTTTCTAGAAAATCCATCATAGCAGACATGGCTTTCTGGGATGGAGATTACCGTTATCACAAATTGTTGACAACAAAGACAAAATTTAACTCTTTCTTTTTTATGCAGGGCATGATGCATTATCAAGGTGTCTACGTCTTGGAAAACCCTACGGCAGAGTCTGCACTGATGTCTACCTTCCACATTGTCCCGGCCAAAAAGTTTTTGACGAGTCTCAAGAACCACCACGGGACAGAGAGTTTGTGTCACAGATATAATCTTGCTCTTCTTAGGCAACATCTTTGCAGTTTTCACACCGACCACTGTGTTGTCTTTTTTTATCTTTGATTGATTCTCCAGTGGCTTGGGTTTTGGTATTGTCATGGTGATCGCAGGTTGCATTGGTGCTCTCGGTGAAGCTTTTCTGGGGGGCAAGTTCCTCTGTTTCATTTGGATGGGTTGTCTATGACTCATGTAGGCAGATGCTAGCATCTTCAGGATTGATTTCTTATTAAATGCAGCTGAATCTTCGCCAGATTCTGGTGATTTCTCATGGTCTTGCACAGAATGGTTTACCACGTTGGAGGTTTTTAAAGCATCACTGTCCTTCTCAGGTAACTGCACTTGCTCTTCGGTCACAGGGTGGGATTCAGATGGCTTCAAGACGTTGCTGTCCATGTCTGCAGATTCATTGCTGTCCATGTCTGCAGATTCGTTGCGGTCCATGTCTGCAGATTCATTGGATTCGTCCTTCTTGATGTTAGTGTTTGAAGTAGGAGGTGGGCTTTGTGCAAGGGGTTTTTCATTGGAATGGGATGGTGAAAGGCTGTGAAAAACTTGGTCTGAGACAGGACGGCTAGAGTCTGTTTTGCTATCTGGCACAACTGGAATACTCTCCAAATCTGATTTGACCTCGTTTTCTGAACCATGTTTCTTTTTGTGGTCCTCAAGAGCTGTAAAACCACTAAACTCCTCGCCACAGTCACATATGTAGGTGTGGGCTGGAGATGCTGGAGTGGGCAACATTATACAGTGGTGTTTTTCAAGGAGATCTTTGCTCGCAAAAAAGCTTCCACAGCTGACACAAGTAGGTAGTGCTGATTCTGGCTGTTGAGAGTTATCACTTGCATGAGACGCTTGGTGCACCAGGAGTGATGCCAAATTATGAAAAGTAGCTGAGCATGCCACACAGCTGTATGTTTTAGGACTTCCAGTAGAACTTGTTTCTTGAAGTCCAAGCATTTTGTAGGCGCCAGATGATTCCTCTGCCAATGTTAAATGTAATAAATGTTACCAACCTCTTTGTAATTTTTTAGTATCTCCTAAAAAAGAAAGCAAACAAACAACATTAGTGGCATAGCAAATGTTCAAATGTTTTCAATTCAGAAATAAATCATAAAATGTTATATTTACATATGCTGTCATGTTTAGGGCCCTATGAGCTAGAGCTGTGCAATTAATCAAAATACAGTTTAGATTTCGGCCTCCAACGATTATTAAAATACAATAATCGCGATAAAACAAATATTGCACCCCATTCCGCCCCTTTCCAGCTGTGCGCTTTTGCTCCTCCATAAAAGCTCAATTTCACGTGCAAATCAGTAAAATCTTGTTAACATGACTATCGCAAAATGGAACATGCTTTATTTATTAAAGTTTATTCGATTTATTCATGTTTTTAAAAAGCACAAAAGAGAACTTGTGCTGTTCCTCAAGAGGCTTTTTGTGCATGCGCTCAGAGACGGAACAGAACACAGACGTGTAAAGTCAACTTTTAGCTTAAGGTGCGTGCCTAAACGGTCAAATACATGCGAAAATGTGTCAAAATGTGGCACTTGTTGATTATTCACATAAACCCTCGTTGCTTATGTAATAAGTGAACGTAAACAGTTGAGAATGAAAATACATGCTAACTCTTTCTTTTTTATGCAGGGCATGATGCATTATCAAGGTGTCTACGTCTTGGAAAACCCTACGGCAGAGTCTGCACTGATGTCTACCTTCCACATTGTCCCGGCCAAAAAGTTTTTGACGAGTCTCAAGAACCACCACGGGACAGAGAGTTTGTGTCACAGATATAATCTTGCTCTTCTTAGGCAACATCTTTGCAGTTTTCACACCGACCACTGTGTTGTCTTTTTTTATCTTTGATTGATTCTCCAGTGGCTTGGGTTTTGGTATTGTCATGGTGATCGCAGGTTGCATTGGTGCTCTCGGTGAAGCTTTTCTGGGGGGCAAGTTCCTCTGTTTCATTTGGACGGGTTGTTTATGACTCATGTAAGCAGATGCTAGCATCTTCAGGATTGATTTCTTATTAAATGCAGCTGAATCTTCACCAGATTCTGGTGATTTCTCATTGTCTTGCATAGAATGGTTTACCACATTGGAGGTTGTTAAAGCATCACTGTCTTGCTCAGGTAACTGTACTTCCTCTTCGGTCACAGGGTGGGATTCAGATGGCTTCAAGACGTTGCTGTCCATGTCTGCAGATTCATTGCTGTCCATGTCTGCAGATTCGTTGCGGTCCATGTCTGCAGATTCATTGGATTCGTCCTTCTTGATGTTAGTGTTTGAAGTAGGAGGTGGGCTTTGTGCAAGGGGTTTTTCATTGGAATGGGATGGTGAAAGGCTGTGAAAAACTTGGTCTGAGACAGGACGGCTAGAGTCTGTTTTGCTATCTGGCACAACTGGAATACTCTCCAAATCTGATTTGACCTTGTATTCTGACCCATGTTGTTTTTTGTGGTCTTCAAGAGCTGTAAGTCCACTAAACTCCTCGCCACAGTCACATATGTAGGTGTGGACTGGAGATGCTGGAGTGGGCAACATTACACAGTGGTGTTTTTCAAGGAGATCTTTGCTCGCAAATAAGCTTCCACAGCTGACACAAGTAGGTAGTGCTGATTCTGGCTGTTGAGAGTTATCACTTGCATGAGACGCTTGGTGCACCAGGAGTGATGCCAAATTATGAAAAGTAGCTGAGCATGCCACACAGCTGTATGTTTTAGGACTTCCAGTAGACCTTGTTTCTTGAAGTCCAAGCATTTTGTAGGTGCCAGATGATTCCTCTGCCAATGTTAAAGTTAAGAAGTGTTACCAACGTTTTTGTTATTGTTTAGTATATCCTAAAAAGAAAGCAGACAAACAACATTAGTGGCATAGCATGAGTTCAAATGTTTTAAATTTAGAAATAAATAATGAAATGTTATATTTACATATGCTGTCGTGTTTAGGGCCCTATAACTCAGGTAAGTTACAATAAAAAAAGTAATTAACAGTGTAATTAGATTTCTGTACTAATTACTTTCTTTAAAAAGTACTGCATTACTCATTACTAATTACGTTTTAAATCCCATATCAGCCTCGACCAGTACAATAGAAGGACAGGCATAAAAATTGCTCTTTTAATTCCATCAAATAAATAATATAAAATTCGATTACATTACATTACATTATACTGAAGTTGAGCCACTGATGTCACATGGACTGTTTTACCGATGTCCTTACTACGTTTCTTGACCTGGGAACATTTCAGTTGCGTTGCTGTCTATGCAGGGTCTGAGAGCTCTCAGATTTCATCAAAAATATCTTAATTCGTGTTCCGAAGATGAACGAAGGTCTTACAGGTTTGGAACAACATGAGGGGGGAGTAATTAATGACAGAATTTTCATTTTGGGGTGAACTAACCCTTTAACGCAGTACACGTAAGAATGAACTTCCACTATATGGAATACAATTTAGAAAAATAAATTGTATACTAAATAAAAAGAAAACAAATAGATAGAATACAAAAAGATTAGAAAAACTAGTGTTAGTTTTTTTTTTTTTTTTTTAAGAAAACAAGCAGTTAGTAAATGAATAAATAGAGTGCAAGTCTAAAAGGGACAATTTTTTTTTTTTTAAGAACAGAATTGGAATAGAGAGTGCTAGAGTTAGAGGGTCAAATAAAGATGGTAGAGATGTGTTTTTAGCCGATTCTTGAAGATGGCTAAGGACTCAGCTGCTCGGATTACTTGTTCATGAACGAACCAAAGTATTTAATAGCAGAAAGTTACGTTAAAACATACATTTTAACATTAAAAATTTTGATGGTCAATCTATTATTATTTTATATAGAATTGTTCAATAATGTATACAGTATTTAATGCAATTGCATCAGAAATAATTGTAATTAAATTACAGAAAAATTAAGAGTAATCCATTACTTTACTTTTTCAGGTGTAAAGTAATTAAATTACAGTAATTAATTAACACTGCCTATGAGTTCAGCAATGTTTAGATAAAAAAGACAATTCTGTAATGCAGTCCTAAAAATTTAATTACCTTTGTACAGTGTAATTTTATATTTGGGCACATTTTGGATGAAATTAAAAAATTAAACTAGCATCAAAAACACAAACTCTTCACTCTGTTTTCTAGGATGCATGAAACAGAGATATGATGTATACAGTAAAACACAATATTCAATATAATAACAATATGAGTTGTTTTACATTATAATAATTACCATTATTATTTAAACTTATGTTGTTGTTGAAATACTGAACATTTCTTGATTTCCATGACATTAGGGGAACGTAATAATATGTACTTTTTTTGTGCTTTTTACTTTGTGTAAAACTATCATGAATACAAAGATAACATTTCTAAAAACTTGGCACCTGTGATTATAACTATATACTTGGTAAAATAAAATAAAAAAGCGGGAAACTGGAAAAATCACGTATCGTATGCAACCTCTCACATACAACCGTCGGTGAGTTCATGCATATTTAAATTAGAAAACTAATTTCTCTCAGCTAGTTCAAACAAAATTGCTACACCGCTTTCGTTTTGAAGTAAAGTGTTCAAGTTAGTTATTCGTTATACACAACCTAGGTTCCAAATGTAGCAACAATAGAGGCAGAAAATTGGCCAGCCTGCTCATGCTTAGATTTTGATGGGCCTGGCCACTTACCGTGGCACTTCACTCAAATGTTTAATAAATGCTGTATCACAACAATTAAACCCAACACAAGGGTAATCTGCAGACTACTCGTCGACTTAGTTTTAGTCGAAATTATAAAATGAGCGTGAATATAACACATGCTAATAACAAGCATTGCAATGGATGCTGCAGATTTAGCACGCTCTTCAGACATAAACAGATATAACTATACAATTAGTCTGCAACATCCCAACGTTGAATTACACCTCTTTACAAAATCAAACGCGCTTAGTAGCTACATCTTGGGCGATACAATGCATGAGGAACATGTCATTCTCGTGCTGCACAAGGGAATTGAATGACAAAAACAGCAGCTAAGGGCTGTATGCACGAAATAAAAACGAACCATAACAAGTAGCTCAAACAGTTGCTAGCTTGCACTCACCTTGGGAAAGTACGATTTGCAAACTTGCATGATTTTAATGAAAGAAGTTATTTATTTTCAATCCGAAAGGCGGTATGTATTTTGCACCCAGTTTCTGTAGCGACGTGTAATTCCCGCCGTTCACTAATAGAGGGCAGTATCTCTGAGCGCTCACTCCCATTCCCCACATGTAAGGCTTAAATATACCGCCATCAACTGGTGTGAGGGACCGGTCTACGCTACACTTTTCTCATTAAATACAAATATTACTAATAGGTAGGTTTAATCCATCTTGGATTACTTGAGAAACACCAAACATACTGAATCGCTATAGGTCTAGAAAATAAGGATGGTAGGCCCTTCATTAAATGTCTGCAATTATAGTTAATGTCTGGACACATTTCTGATTCAATTTATACTGTTCCATATATCTGAGTGATATTTTAATAAAAACATTGAAGAGGTTGCTGCTGTTCAGCAGGGATGAACTACTCCTTTAACCAAGAAACCAGCTAGCTACTTAGTTGTAAAACAGAGCAACCAGATTATATTTGATTTCACCATAATAACTATTGATGATCATATGGTGGTTCAATAAACACATTTCTTTATTAGCTATATGGTTGACTAGAAAACAGTAAAAAATGATTTAGCAATTATCTATAGAATTATCTATCATTTTATTTTGTAGGGGTCAACAAAACATGAAGTAGTTGTAGCTTATTTGTGTTGGAGCTTCCTTTATATTAATTTATGCATACAATGACAAATTGTCAACTCAAGATATATCTGGTCAGTTGACAATTTAGAAGATGATTATTGGAGGAACCATATGTAAAATTTTCTTAAATCCAATATAAAAAGGCAAAACTTAAGTAACTGGTGACAGGTTTTACTTTTAATGTATACTGTAATACCAAGGCCAAATTCACTACACACTCTGAATCTTGAGCCAAATGTCTTAAGAGGCATATACTGACAGCTCTTGACCTGTAGATATAGCTGCTATAGATTCACAATTACAAGATAAATCAAAAACCTCATTAGTGGCTGTAATTAACCGAAGGATGCTGAAATTCCTAATACAATGTCTCCATAATCATAATTGGTAATATTAAAGTTCCAAAAAGCAGCATGATCTGTAAAAAAAAAAATAAAAAAAATAAAAAATGATATACAGTGGGTACGGAAAGTATTCAGACCCCCTTCAATTTTTCACTCTTTGTTATATTGCAGCCATTTGCTAAAATCATTTAAGTTAATTTTTTTTCCTCATTAATGTACACACAGCACCCCATATTGACAGAAAAACACAGAATCGTTGACATTTTTGCAGATTTATTAAAAAAGAAAAACTGAAATATCACATGGTCCTAAGTATTCAGACCCTTTGCTCAGTATTTAGTAGAAGCACCCTTTTGATCTAATACAGCCATGAGTCTTTTTGGGAAAGATGCAACAAGTTTTTCACACCTGGATTTGGGGATCCTCTGCCATTCCTCCTTGCAGATCCTCTCCAGTTCTGTCAGGTTGGATGGTAAACGTTGGTGGACAGCCATTTTTAGGTCTCTCCAGAGATGCTCAATTGGGTTTAAGTCAGGGCTCTGGCTGGGCCATTCAAGAACAGTCACAGAGTTGTTGCGAAGCCACTCCTTCGTTATTTTAGCTGTGTGATTAGGGTCATTGTCTTGTTGGAAGGTAAACCTTCGGCCCAGTCTGAGGTCCTGAGCACACTGGAGAAGGTTTTCATCCAGGATATCCCTATACTTGGCCGCATTCATCTACTTTCCGTCCCCACTGTATATATATATATATATATATATATATAGTATCTCACAGAAGTGAGTATACACCCCTCACATTTTTGTAAATATTTTATTATATCTTTTCAAATGACACTTTGCTACAATGTAAAGTAGTGAGTGTACAGCTTGTATAACAGTGTACATTTGCTGTCCCCTCAAAATAACTCAACACACAGCCATTAATGTCTAAACACAAAGACAAGTGTGTCTTGCCTACAGTCAAGCATGGTGGTGGGAGTGTCATGGTCTGGGGCTGCATGAGTGCTGCTGGCACTGGGGAGCTACAGTTCATTGAGGGAACCATGAATGCCTACATGCACTGTGACATACTGAAGCAGAGCATGATCCATAGTTGTATTCCAACATGATAATGACCCCAAACACACCTCCAAGACAACCACTGCCTTGCTAAAGAAGCGGAGGATAAAGGGGATGGATTGGCCAAGCATGTCTCCAGACCTAAACCCTATTGAGCATCTGTGGGGCATCCTCAAACGGAAGGTGCGT